CTTCTTAAAACTCATTTTTATTCTTTGGCATTTACTTGAAGTGTTTTGATAATCTGTTTTTATTAATTAGTACTTTTGTTTGTCCTGTACAGCACTTTGGTGCAGTTTTATACCTGTTTTTAAAGTGCTATATAAATAAATTTGACATTGACATATGCCTTTAAGATGCTGGATTTTAAAATATAAACTGTTTTGTTTTGTTTTTTTTGGTAACTTAGAGTTTAGGTAGGCTTAAATTTTGAAACGAAGATTATACTGATGGGGGAAAAACGTTTTTTTTGTTTGTTTGTTTTTTTTCTAATACTGCCAGGAATTTCAATCTTACAAATGTAAAGAACAATCAGAGTCTAAACATCTTTAATAATACCTTCAGATCTTTAATTTGCTTTTCAGGAACTAAAATAGGCCCATTAATGGTTATCTTGTTAAAACATTTATTTGAATAAATTCTTCCTAACATGTGTTTTAAAAAATATAATAATAATTTGTTTATTTATTTCTACTCCCTTTTCCCCAAAACAATTTGCTATCTTTGCGCATCTCTAAGGAATATTCCTAAGATGGTTTTTCTTTTCCTCATCATAGCCTCCTATGTTGATAAATGCCTCTAAGTTTGGTGAAAGCCTCCATATTTACCGAAGAACAGAGACAGGACGGTCCGGTTGCGCGCTGAGGGCAGACCGGAGGGGCCCCTGGCCAGTAGCCTGCTCAGCGCGCGCGCGTTCGGCTGAACCGGCTCGTGCACAGGTTGGTAGACTCCATCCCAGTAGCGCGCGGGCACGAGGCGCAGGAGATGAGAACCTGTGAGGAACACAGAGTCAGTGAGCGTGCGTGGGGAAGCAGGGCGGTCATCCTGAGCGCAGGGACCCACCGACGGCTCCGCGCTCCGGATGCGCCAAACTGTTGTACCAGCCGTCAAAGCGAGGCACCTCCCAGCTTCTTTCACCTTGAGAATCTGCAGCCAAAGCAAAAGCAGATTTACGAACTGCATCTATTTTATAGTTCAAATAATAAAAAGCTGCAGCGCTTCACTTACCCTCACAAAGAAAGAACACCAGGCCAGCAGCTGCACACACTCTGCTCAGCCATTTACGCAAACCCATTGATGCGAGAGGCGCTTCTTACCTCAGGATGAAGCCAAGAGGAAAGAAGGACTTCTAAAAAGTGAAGACTACGTGCAGGTAACTGAACACTGCACTCATATCAACATTTCCATGATAAATAATCTACTTATTTAGAAGATTAACAAATAATATTTATTATTCTGCATTGCAATGAGTAGCTGGATGTGAGGTTCTATTATAAAGCTCAATAAAACACTGAAAAGCTAAACAATCATGAAGCTGAATAAAAGGAAGAGTCTCACCCACTGCAGAGGCAGAGATCCTCACCAGCTGAGAGATCATGCAACACTTGCAGCCTTCACCTGTTGCTCACCTCATGCATATGTGACCTATTCCCCCCCAAAATAATGGCCATACATGTCAGGGTCACTCCTCTTTTTCCACAGCCTTCCAGTCATCGCTTTCTTCATCTCCTCCTCCTCCTGTGACAGGAGGGGTCCACATGTATAAAGGAAGAGAACATTTCCAGCGACAGACTTCACGCCTTTCTTCTTCACTCCTTTTCCTGCACATCTCAGGTAAGACTGCATCTTTTTTTTTTAAATAAAAGATAATATTTCATGTTTTATTTTATTTTATTTTTTACATTAAAGGATGTTGCAATCATTCCAGCAGCAGATGGAGCTATTATCCTCTGCCTTTTAGAGTTCTGTGTTTTTGCAAGTTGCACACATAGCAAGCAGTTACTCCGTAAACTCAAACGCTTCAGGTTGAATAATGAGTTGCGCCTCAGGGTGATAGTTTCCTTATCAGTTGTAAGAAAAACGGTTATCTCTGCACCTGGGGGAAAGTGAGAAGCTGCTCTCTAACACTAGCTCCTCTGTTTGGCCACCTAGTCTCGGCTGAATCCTTAGATCAGAAGCTAAGATGACTTTCTACGACGACATTTACCCGTTCTACCCGCAACAAAGGACTGCCTTCATCATCAGCGGCCGATTGCTCGCCATTATTCTGGTCTTCCTCATCCTGGCAGTCAGTCTTCTTCTCATCCTGCCTGGAATACGAGGAAGGGCGGTGAGTGAAAGCAGTAGCCTTTGTTTACGGAGATGAAGCAGGAGCATTAAAAATTAAATGCTTTTCTATTGTATTAATCTTCTTCATACCTGTTTTTAATCCAGCGGGTCTTCTGGATGTTCAGGATACTCATCAGCTTGTTCATAGGTGTGGTTATAGTGGGTAGGTTGTGTATTAACTTTTAAATCTATGCAAATGTTTAATTCTTCTTTATCACACATCATTAATTATCTTCTTATCTTTTTTGTGCAGCTCTGAACTTCACTAACAGCTGGGCCGAGGCCAGGATGACCACAAACGCTACCTACAAGTCCTTCAGTAATGCCGTCATCCAGGCTGAGGTCGGCCTGCATGTTGGGCTGTACGGCATAAACGTGACGCTTAGAGGTGAGTCACTCTTACTGCCAGTGTGTCGGACGCTTTCATGGCTTAACCAGCCCCAGTCTTTGTTTTCAATGGCCACCTGCACTATTAGATTGTTCAAAAGAAAATCCTTTGCAGGACGCAAATGAATTCTAGCTGGATGCATGTTGCACATAGCATAATAAAAAGACTGCACACACTCCTGCTATTATACAAAATTCTCAATAGGTATTTAAAGTTGTTAAATGCCACCTTAAACACACAAGAACTATCCTGGATGTTAAAAATGCAAAAATATATATATGACTAAATTAAATGTTGTTGGTCTTCTGTGTTGCATTATTTAATGCATGGGCCTGCATATTTGTCTATGATCATTTGTTTTACTGTAAAAATGTTTTTCTTTAATAGTGTTGATAGTTTCTTCTCCAGGGCAGGGG